TTTTGTAATCTCTGATTAATGAAGAAAGCTACAAGAAAATAACAAGAAAATAAATATTAGTACTGGGAGAAATTTCCTCGCCTATTGTTTCCAAATGACTGAAAGCTAGCTAAAACAGAATGCTATTAACAACAAGGCTGAAACTTGGTCAACTGCTCTCAGTATTAAATATTGCTCAATTGAAATAAGAGAAGTAACACAATGACGAGCTGTTTAAATGTTTATATCAATTTAACGTACTGCCTGATCATTCAGTTCTTTTAAGCCGTATAGTCAACAAAGGTTTGAAAGCAGCTAACGCAGAATAACCGGCTCTGAAGTGACTACTTGAATTTGATTTCACATCGGTTTACGAAAAGTATTATTACACGCGGCACGTGTCGGAAATCTACTAGGAGCTTCTAGAAGCTTTTCGAAAACACTTGTTGCATTCGTCACTTCCGAATTGCTGACGAAACACATTTTTTAGTAAAACCCGTTCACGGTGTATACTGTGGTTGGCAGCCATGCGACTCTCAATGAAAGCCTTCTCGAACGTTTTAATTTGCGTTTTCCAACTTTACCTGCAAGGTAAGAGATTATTCCGAAAAAGCCCCGTCATGCATGATGACTCAGTCCAAATACCGCGGGGGCGTAATGTACAAAGGGGGACATTGGGGTTTGCGTTGAACAACATTGCCGGGTATTATACATTTTTTTCTTGCGGTATTTGGGTAATTTTAGGGTGCGTTTCTTTAAAAAAAAATTCAAGATTGGATTCTTAAATTTGAAAACGGATTTTGCATTTCTTTACATAACAGATTAATCCAAGATCTCTCGGATCATGGTGCGTCAAAGAAACTGAAGAATCCACTCTGGGCAAGGATTCTTCGGTTCCTGTGATGCACCATGATCCGAGTGATCTTGGATTGATCTGTTTAGTAAGGAAACGCATAATTTGTTTTCGGATTTAAGAATCCAATCTTGGACTTTCTTAAAGAAACTCACCCTAATCTCGAAATGCGGTAACGCGGTATTCTCCGAACCTGCGGAAAGCGGTTTTCAGCAGTTTGGGCGGTANAATGCGGTAACGCGGTATTCTCCGAACCTGCGGAAAGCGGTTTTCAGCATTTTGGGCGGTATTAAAAATTATTCCCCAAGTTCTCCAACGTTTCCGAGCCTTTTCTAGTTTCCGACTGGAGATTCCTAGTAAAACTTAGCTCTCATGGTAACAGTAAACTGCAATCCCTTGTGTCGCAATTGTAAAAGGGTATGTTATTTTTCGTTGATTAGTAGCCAACACGCCAAAGAATGTTACTTATTTTGTCTATGACCCAACGTTCATTAACAAATTCTTAATTGTTATTTCCGTGTTATTTTCTCCAAACGTTAACGTACAGAGTAGTGGTTTCGGTATGACATCGTGTTTCCACTCGGTATTGAATTATTGCGGTATTTATCGATTTTCTTTTGGGGTATTGCGGTGATTACTGATGTCGCCAGGATTATTTTGGCTTCGGTTGAAGATTTAGGGAACAGTATTTCGGCGTTGAAATTATTGTCAGGATGCATGCCCAGTCACTGCTGTATCTTTTAATTAGAATTAAAATAATTTTCTATCATTTCAGTTGCTGTGTTAAGTACTTCGCAAGTCTACACGTGTACCATTGGAGACACAGTCAATCAGACACAAGTCAATCATCCATAATAGGATTTTAATAAACATTACAAATATCAAAGCTCTTTTACTTCCGCCGCCCGATGGCCCTTTCTTCCTGCTTTTTGTTTATAGGGAATCGATGGCTCGCTTTATTACCCTAGCTCGCTCCCTAAGCTTTCCGTTAGTTCAGTTTGAAACACACGTAGTTCTGTTTGCATGGACTTTACTTCTAAATATTTCTGTATGGTTGTGCGCGTTACCAGTGTATGTCGACTATGCTTTTATAGTGGTACGTAGAGGCTTTTTTTTGTTCTGCACAATAACTATTTAATTGGCTTAACCCTCTTAACCTCGTCGACTATAAAACCCATGAATATGTAAAACATTTAGTTTATACACGGCCCCACAAGCTGAAAACTTTGACATGTATTTGTCATGCTGGTGGTTTATTAAATGAGTTGATTTGAATTTATTTGAATGTAATTTCAAAGGCCAGACTTGTCACATCATCGTCTGTAATAACTTGACTACCATCACTTAGACGGGGACTAGAAGAACTAATGAACGTGTCCAACGATATTTCCCCGCTTTAATTTATCGGCATCAAAAAATGTTTTGCTTCGCAGACATTTGTACTTGTCGTGATTAATTTGAAGGTGCGTCATTGTCACGCGACTGTCTTCTTATAGCGCAGTTCCCAGGGGAATGCCACGCGCTAATCGCTCGTGATAGTCACTTAACACCTCCATGGATTATTCGATTTATTTAAAGCTTTGGATACTTCTCGGCGTTCATTTTACAAATGAAGGTAGGCACAAAGATTATAGTTATCATGCTGCTTCAATGAATGAAAAGCTGATCGCATGCATAGGTTTATTTTTGACAAAAACACGACAAACGAGCAGTCATTTGTCGGATCATTTGTCGCCGATGGCCCGATATTGAATNAATCGAGAGCGAATAATCTAATTGTTTTAGTATAAATCTACTGGTCGTTCAAAACTTTATCTAAATTCTCTTCACAGACACTTCGAAAATGCCAAGAGACGGCCGTCATTTTGTTAACAAGCGCACACTGCTACGCTACTCACTATCTATCACAGAATAGATAGTGAGTAGCGTAACCAATCAGAAAGCAGTATTCGTGAACTGTTAACGTAATGATGGCGCGAGCAAAGAGGATTTACATTTTGAAAATCAAAGTAAACAAGTTTCCCTTTTTTTCGTCGCGGTGTTTTCGAAAACATGTTCCGTGTTTCTATCGAGTTGTAGAAACACTTGTAAAAGTCTGGGAGAACTCGAAAAAGCTGTAGAAGCACTCGCTTACGGCTCGTGTTCCCACAGCATTCCTCGTTCTCCCAAACTTCCCTTGTGTCTATAACTCGATAGAAACACGGTACGTGTTTTCTATTTCTTAAATAAAAGGACCTTTTAAAATATCTCATACAGGTATATTAGTGACGAGTAGGTGGGATGAACTTAACTGCATGTTTGAAGATTTTTAGGGTAGAACATCTGGTTTAACTTTTTGGGGTAAACGCTTTTTGGGTACAAAGACTTTTAGGAATCTTAAAGGGGTACTGTTTTCTGTGGAAGGTATGCGAAGGTGTGCGAAAGGGTAAACCTTTTCTCTCAAAAGTGGTATATATAAAAGGTTAAGGGTTTGGATCTCGGGGCGGGGCCTCTGCTTATAAAACTTTGTTCGATCCCCCCTCCAGGAGTGATATCTGTAGCGACGTAGATAAAAATTATGCGAATTTAACGCAGTCAAAGTTGGGTGAGGAATGGCTTTTTAGTAAAGATTACACGGGGCTGGATGTAAACCTGCCATTATGAGATAACGAGAAGATCGAATATTCATGTCCTGTTTTTCTTTTTCTTTGCCTCGCGCGATTGTTCACATTTAGAGCTTGATCAATTGAAAATTGGGCATGTTTAGTGTGGTAGAGAGATATGGATATAACAGTCAAAAATGAAGAATGCACGATGTTTGTTTGCACGGCTTGATTCAGATACGGAGTCCTAGCATTCCTTTAAGACTACGTTTAGACTAGAGGATGTTTTTCCGGATTCGTAAATGTTTCCAATTAAAATATTTCAACGTACGAGGATACGGGGAGTTTTTATTTCGGATTCGTCCACTTGTAGGTAAACGGCAAAACTAGTCCGGAACGTCTTAGTACGGGATCGTCACGAATCCCGAACAATATCCTCTAGTGTAAACCTAGTCTAAGTATAATGAAAAAAATTACGAGGTGATAATTGCATGAAGACTAATTTCTTGTCGATCCTGTCTAACTTTTTCAACAGTAACTGAGATTGGAGGAACTGTTTTCTTAAAGCTTAACCTAACAGCGTTAGGTTGGCACACGGATCCTGTGGATTACTTTGTCCTGGCGTGGAATAACGTAAGCCATCCCATTGTAAAGTTACAAAATGGTGCTGAACATGCCGACTGCTACAATGACCTTTCGTTTCTAAGGTCAGCTCTGTGTGCTGATTTCAATGTGAGGTTTATAGAGTCCAAAGTTGTCGGCATCGGAATAAGAGTCATCTCTGAGGCAATAGCTGCAGACTACATATTTTATGCCTATTACCTCGGGGCAAAGCACAACTTGAGCTTGGTGCAGATTAGTGTCTATCTCAAAGGTAACGCCTTTCTTCTCGTTCGATTTCATTTAGAATCGGTTTCATGGTACCTCTTTAGGTTCAAAACCTACTCTGGTGACCTTGTAATGACATTTGCTGCACGTGGTCCTTATGCCGTGGGCTTGGAAAAGACACTGAGTGAACTCTCGCACTGCTTGTCTTCACCCAGAAGTATAGATTAGTGTCTGTCAATTGTTGGAGGAGGTGACCAGCCAAAACTGCCAAGGGGTATCTGCTTTAGAAATATCCTATCCAGGGAGACTAGCAATACATCATATAGTAACCTGCATGGCAAAAGCGAGTTGCCTGCCATCCCTCCGNGCCAACTCCCACCCCCCCATCACAAGGAGTGTGACTGATTTCAACCTTAATTTTATACTTAACTTTCCAGACAACCCAAATACAACGTCAGGAGAGTCACACACAGTCTTGAGACCCACCCAGCTCCCTTCTGAGGCCAACACGAACACAACAGCTCCGGTTAGGAATCAAGCTTTACGATCAGGTTTGCTGTTTCTTGTTTGGAAGGGGTTGAACCCAGGGCTTTTATGTGTGTGAGTCTACAGTTGAATTATTGGATTGATACCAACCAATGTTAATTGCGATCCAATTTGAGACTAACCCTAACTGATTAAGGCTGCCCTAAGATGCTCGGCAACGTTTGGGAAACTTTTGTTTAATTTTTGGTTTAAAACAAACCAAAACAAGCATATTAAGCGCTTCTTGGTCACAGACTCATTCTGCAGGTGTTATAAATTGTAAATTAAATTGTGCAAAAAAGCGGTCAAATATTGAGCAAACGTTTTTGGTGAGAACATGTCATCAGGTTGCTAGCGGTGAGTGAACGGCTTTGAATTCAAAATGACGGACTATGCTCAAGTGAGTCTAGTCGTTCGAGTGGTTGTAGAGTTCCTTTGGAGACAGAAACCACAGCATGAAATAATACTTGACGAAAATGAGAAAATGTTGTAACTTGTTTCGGCGAGTCAGAGGTTAGTTTGTTAACAAAGCTCAGTAGCCAACGGAAAAGCGATTAATGGTTATATAAAAACCTTTTCCGTTATGAAATAGGCAACATGTTATAGCTGATGCAAAAAGAACATTTTAGTAACTTTATGAATTCGCAGCAACTTTTGAGCAACTTTAAGATTTTTTGAGCAACTTTTGAACAACTTTCTGTAGAAGAATTTTGACCATCTTTTTTAAAATCCTTAATCCTAGCTACTGACCTTTTGTCTTCTCACGCGAGAACGTTTAACCCCTGATGAGTAATTAGTTGCCGTCGAAAAACGAACAAACAAAAAAATTACTAGCCGTCAAGGCAAGTAGCTTTTCGAAAACCTCCCTTTCTTTTAAACCCATCCTCACTAAGCATTCGGGAAAAAGGCAGTTACGCACTGCGCATAACCAACAGTCACAAACACAAATTGGGGCTGGAGTGGTTGCCATTTAACAGTTTTGAATGGTGATCACTCGCGGTTTTCTTCTCATTCTCATTCGAAAAAAATCACGTTTTTACTGAAAATGAACAAGGCAAGTTCGTAGTCATGCAGAGGTCTAGCGGGCGCCCTTAAAGGTTTGGAGGAAGAAGCTCAGGGCACGAGTTCGACCCGCCGACACAGTGGAACTCCGCCTTACGACCAACCGCATTGTTACGGCCATTTTCGCTCAGCTCGTACAAAAAAACTCTCACAGTCATTACCTCTTTAAAAATCCTTCTTGTATGGTTAGATCGTAGCGATTTTGAAAAGCGTTCTACTCTATTTTATGTGGAACGAATTGGGCGCTGTACAGGGAAAACTGTATAAGACTGGGGCGGTCACTGAACTTAGCAACTGAGAACGCAGTACAGTAGTATATTTACTGTAAATGTCTTTCTTTGTTGTGTATTTTTAGGCATTTCTTTTTCACTGATGTTCGTCGCTGTCTCATCTTATTTTATGGTTGTATTATCTCTCAGTGAAATCAAGTAAGTGATATCCCATTATCCATCCTGGTTATTGTTTATTCGGTGCAACTGTGTTCAGTCAGTTTTCCACTACAACGTGTCAATGATTATATGAGATCACTGATTATTATGCATTGAGTTCTTAATACTTATCGTTGTAATAACCCATTAAGTGCAAGCGTAAAATAGTTATTAAATACTCTAAAAATAAAATGCACTGTTACAGAAAGCAGCTACTGGAAGTTAATGTTGTCAGTTCACAGGAAGTCAACATGCTGCTCGCAAATCTGGTCTAATTTGCCCATATTGCTGTTCTTCAGTCTTAACAGGACAAGAAGCTGAATGATGAGCAAGACGAAGTGGAAAATCAGCAGTTTGGACTTCATCAGTTTTGATACGCATTTAGGGTTCTGTGCTCTTGGATGCAGCTTTGTTGCCATCTATTTTTGTAATAGAAATAAAAAGAAAATTAACTTTTTCAGTAAAAGGTTGTACTGTGACACTGTTTCCTTGCAATTGTGTCGTACCGTGAGATGTCTATCCACTATAAACAAACACACGTCGCAGGTGTGTGGACGTTTTTAACGTTATGCGGATCAGATGTAGCCTCCAACGCAGACGCTCTTATGGTTCGTCACGCAATCTTTCTCCCTACGAGGAGGGGAAGGAAGAGTGCGTGACGGAAGGATTTGGCCAACGCTCGCGAACGTCCTTTATAATGCAATGCGGCGTAACCTCCCTCACGTCATCGATCATGCACCCGAGCTCTTGTTTCCTGGCCAGGTATGTGGGTTTTCCCACAGGCCACACAGTCTTTTAGTGTGCGCCAGAACCACTTATAATCCTTACGGCGTTTTGTGTGGTTCGTAATCCTCGCCGCGCCGCGTCCCATGGGCTTGAATGCCGAGAGAGTGATACACGGCGTTTGCAGGCAAAAGTCACAGGCCCCCAGGCACAGGTCGCAACATCGATTTCATGATCTCCACCAGGTCCGGTAGTGGGCTGCTGATCTTTCGGAGGCGCAACTTCAGCTTGGCTGGACGTAGTATCATGTCTCTGGAAGAGGCGAACTGGCGGCAGTGGCTCTGGACCTACATCCCTTTGCACGGCAAAATGTTTGCGGCCTGCGAAGAAAGGTGGGTTTCCTTACGGGTGAACAGCGAGGAAATATTGAAATATTTTCAAACAATAGCCTTGCAAGGTAAGTGTCTGTGGACATATGCAGGGATATTTTTATGTATAGGCATTTTCTCCTACCTCTGTTCTCGTTTCAAAATTAGTTTACGGTTTTGGGAATGTGTCGATAGTCGTTTATGTTTTTATATATATTCTGATGCGAAAAGTCTAAAATGACGGACTTCCATCTATCCGACAAAGCGAATGAGTAACTCGGTTTCGGTGGAAATAGTATCTAGGATGACCTAACCTCAGACTGGCGAAAAGGCATCAAGTTCCAAAGTGATAATCGTTGCAAACGAGGCGCGCTTTTCTCTGTGCCAAAGGTTTAGGGGAATCCCATCGCACACTCAGTGTGATAAGGATAAAGAAAGGGAGATAATCAGGCGATGAAATAAAATAACAAATATGAAGCAATATTATTACTGAATAAATCCTAACCGTTTCCAGATTGAACCCGTCTTATGGAAACCACTTCACAGGTCTCTTGCTGGCTTAGAAGACGGAGAATAGCGTCCTGTTGATGCTCCGGTATCCCCACAGTTAACTACAAATAACTAGGGACTTTAAGCAGCGGGAACGCGGACGGCGACGGGGACGCCGAAACCTGTGAGAAGGCTGGGGAGAGAACGCCGTTGTGGCAGGAATTCACAAACATTAAGCAGCACCGTCGGAAACCGCGGTTTCCGCACTGAAAGCTTATTGACATTATCGATATTCGTCCTCTGTTTATCAGGATGAACTAGGATCTCTTTATTGAAAGAAGTTCGCAATCAATTTTCGATAATCCACGATGAAGGTGTGTTAAACGATCACGAACTTCTACTCTTGTACGATTTAAACCGGTCGACTGATCTCGACCAACCTTATGATTCCTTTCCTGATTTTAACTTCGATGGTTTGAAGACGACGAGTGCCGGTCTGAATTTCTGAATGAAGTAAACGAACTTGTTATCAGCAGATGTTTAATCAGACTGGCGCGACAAAA